AACGTATTCTTTCACCATCTATACATATTGAGGCCCTTCTTTTAGGTTAAAATGATCTATCTTAAATTTGTCTTTCTTGAGTTTGGGACTATTATGTGTTTAAATAACACAATTATATTGTTTTAGGATAAAACTAAAAAAGCCCTAAAAAATGCGCGCCAAGCGCGCAAAATATTTTTGTGTTGTTAATTCTAATTTCGTCGGAATTGATGAAAACTCCCTAAAATGTGCAATTTATAGAGGAAATTGGCCTACCGTAACAGGAAATGCGCGCAAAGAATTTGAGAATTTTAGGCATTTATAAAGGGGTGGGGAAGATTTTTCAAAGATAGATATTTTCCCCTGGTCCCCCAGTGGTTACGCCATCGGGCAGCATAGATCAAAGGAGTTATGACAGTTTTTGAAGTGGAGAAGGGGTAGCAGGGTGTTGTGAGTCTGGTCATTATGATATCTTCCTTTTTATTCTTGTCTATATTTTTCTCTTCTCTTTTTCCTTCCTTTTCTTTTCCTCCTCTTTCTCTTTCCCTCCCTCTCCCCTCTTTCTTTTTCTCTAAGTACCCAGCCCGGTAAGACGGCTTTGTCAGCCCTGCAAAAAACCGTCAGGGGAGGGGCAGTTTTCCCCTGCAACCCCCCCCCGGCTAACACGCCAATCATACCCCCCCCCCATGAAAAATATTTTTTCTACGCCACTTCATTTCTTATTCTTTAGGGTTTGAACCAGACAGTGCATGGCTGTGAGGGGGATCGCCACTCCTCCTTACAGCGAATCTGTTTACCTTTCCAGTATATGTCGGTTGGTACTCGAGGGTATAGAGGGACAAACGTAGTGTCTGGTCCAAGGAGACAAGCGAATTTCACAGCGAGGGTTCGAACCCCTGACCACGTGTCAGCCATAACCGCTGCGCCAACTACTTCCACCACGAATACATATATTTCAACCAAGTGTTATTTAGAGACATAATACAAATAAAGAATTGAAAATGTAAATTTCTAAAATAATCAAGTAGTATCTAATATGCTTCTATTTAAGTGACAACATTGTTTTTCAATTTGATCGTTAATATTTCACTTTCATACCGGTATATAGTAAGAAAATTATCTCAATACAGATTATTAACAACAATATAATTAAAACCGTCCTAAACCGTATCTTGCTAGATAGAAAATATGAGACGGAAACACAATATTTGGTCATCTATTCAAGCTTGTTTTAAATCTACGCGAATATATTACATTATCGTAATAATAACAAGAATAAACAATCATAACAAAGTCATATATATATTAATGAGCATGAAAAAATAATGAGAAAGAAAAATAAGCTACGTATATGCAGATCTGTAAAGAGTTTTTTAGAGACACGTTTGAAAAGAACAGTACAGTAGAAGAACTACAAAGCGAATCCAAATGTAAGGTGTTCCATGCAGCTGTATAAACTCATACCACGGTTACCGTTTGAAGTAAAAGTTAAGCAGATCAATGGCAGCGTTCAGGAGTTAAAGAGGTGGGAGTCAACCCTTGCAAAAACTTTCATGTCAGCAAATTTATCTTGAATATGAATTCTTTGACGAGGTAACCAGTGAAGGTGTTCGACATTAAGGTACTGATCAAGTGCATTTTCCAAAAACATCAAAAATTAAATTACAATAAAAATTTCATTTAAATTTGCACCTTCATATATCTATATTTGTATATTTGACTGCATCAGTATTAATTAATTTTGTTAGGACTTTTTTTTATACAATCCATCATTAATTAAAATATATATAGGCCTAATGCATGATAAGAATAATTATATATACCAGTATACCGGATTAAATTTGCATTTTCATATATTCATATATTTGACTCCATCAGTATTAATTAATTTTGAAAAATTTGTTTACACAATCCATCATTATCATATTGAAGTGGCTCACAGAATCAAGCCAACAGTTATTATAAATACTTGAAGAGAAAGTTAATTAAACGATATGTAATGTATGATAATATTAAAGATAAAGTAGATAATTATAAACGCCTTTCCTCCATTTATTTTAGTCAAATAATAACAGACACAACAGAAGTGATAATGGTAAAACCGGTGGCATTACACTTGCGGTTATCTAGTGGCGTACGTAACTAGGATATGTTGAACTTAAGACACGTACTGTAGTCTTTAGTCGAGCAGGTTAAACCGACTAGCACTTTTTGAACGTTGATTTTTATTAAATCATTGAAATCTAATGTATTTCTATTATTATTATTATTATTATTATTATTATTATTATTATTATTATTATTATTGTTATTATTATTATTATTATTATTAATATTATCAATATCATTATTATCATTATTATTCAAATTTATCTGTATTTTAATCATAATAGAAGATATGGATATAACGATATTTGTAAATATATTTATTCTTTATTCACTCATTCTTTATTCAATAATCAAAATTGCACAAAAGAAAGTTAGCATCCATTTGAATTATATGTCAGAAACACCGTATGCCATAGAGAGGGCTAGAAGATCGCAAACACAAATCATAGTACTCAAATAGTTAAAAACTACCTAAAATCACCTGATTATGAGAGTTAGCGCCCCTCAAATTAACATCGACCCCCAACTTCACCTTCGCGCCCAATCAGTACCCCCACTTCAAGACTTTCAGATACGCCAATGAAGTTATTTAAGAACCTTCTTAATCTTAAATTACCGTAGTTTTTATTCAGTTTAATGTTAACATTGTAATGTTACGACTCCTACTATACTCGGTATTGCTGTTTATGATGCATATGTGTCTTTATTTTTGTTAAAAAGCTGTTCATAAAAAAAATTGTTTGTATCATTCAAATATGAAGACGTAACAATTTTACGTCTTCATATTTAAAAATGATACAAACAATTTTTTGAACCGTGCAGATACAAGATACAATGCGTTTTAAAAATGTCTTGTATCTTGTACCACATGGTTCAACGACACGCAGGCAGGGAAATGCACTAAGATTAGAATACCGTATAACCAATTCAAAGAAATGTAACATTCATGTTAATGATAGCATCATCTAAGCATGTGCGTCCGGTCTCACGTTTTTAAGTATATAATAGAATGTTTGAATGTGTTCGGAAGGTACATCAAAATGGAGCTTCGTCGAGTGACCGTATTCACCTTGTGTGTTCATCTTACTGTTGCATGTATGTATTGATTTATGTCTTATCTTAATATCTGTACTACTATCATAATCATCAAAATCATTATCAGCATTATTATTATTATTATTTTTATTATGATTATTAGCATCATCATCCTCATCAGTACATTATTATTAACAATAATAATAATAGTAATAATAATAATAATAATAATAATAATAGTAGTAGTATTAGTATAGTAGTATTAGTAGTAGCAGTAGTAGTAGTAGTAGTAGTAGTAGTAGTAGTAGTAGTAGTAGTAGCAGTAAAGTAGTTGTAGCAGCAGCAGCAGAAGTAGCAGTAGTAGTGTAGTACTCGTATTGCCGTACAGTAACTAAATTGTTGATAATAAAAAGTAACTTAAATAAGTTAAATAAATCTGCATACA